CCCCAAAACCCCAAAACCCCAAAATCCCAAATCCCCACTAGTAATATTTAAGATCGAAATATGCTTAAATTTTAATATTTATTATTAAAAATGTCATTGAACCTAAGGTAAACCCTCTTTCAGCCACTTTCAGCCAATTTCAGTACAAAAATCTGCTCTAAAGCCCCTATAACTGCTCTAAAATCCCTCAAAAATTCAAAATCTAAATTATCGCTGAACCCAAGGGCTTTCAGAAGAATTTTTTCCTGAAAATTTTAAGTCAGAGAATTAAAGCTAACAGAAATATATGCCTGAAGGTATAAATATTAATGCTTTTAAAAGGGAACAAACTCCTCAGTTGGAAATGAAAGAAGTATTTGAGTCGGTACTGCCAGAAGACTTGGTTGTCCCTAATAATGAAGAGAGAAAGTCTGAGGTGAAAGATCAGTTGGTAGAGCCTGAAATTGTTAGCAGAACTGATGACGATGAGAGCATAATTCCAATGGATCCTTCAATTGGAAGTAATATGTATTCGAAAAGTCGCACTACTAAAACCTCTGGCAACCAATACTCCTGCCCAGACAGTCAGGTAATCATTATCAGAAACCAGAGTGGAACAGGACTGAGTTCAGAAGGAGTGGAGCCTGAAGGAAGAAGAGAGGAGGAAACAGAAGGTAGGAATTAGGGTGAAGAGGGTAGAATTTAGATAGGGGTTGTTTGAGTGGGAATAGGGCAATTGGAGAAATTAAAAGAGAGGATAGAGGCGTTGGAAAAGGAGAAGGATGAGTTAGTGCAGATGAATAAGGCTAAGCAGAAAATTATTGAGAATTCTTTGTGGAAATGGGATCATTTTAAGCAAGAAGTGCAGGGATTAGATAAAAAGTACCACACAGAAGAGGAAATGAAGGAGGATGGCATTGAAGAAGAATTTGAAATGTAAGCGATGATCTTGATTGATAGCTAGAGTCAGTGAGAGGAAGTTTGAAAACTGTTTTTGTTTATTTAACAATATTTTTTAATATTTTGAAATACTTATTTTGCAACACCAAGAAAATTAAAAGACTCTATCTTAATCTTATTGGTACATAAATTTGATTATCTTTTCAATGACTATCCAATCCTAAGCCTACTCTTAAAACCCTATGTCATTTCTTACCTCAATTTTCTCTTGACCTTGCATAGAATAAACTATAATAATCCAACCGATGAGGAAGAAAAATCATCAACTTCTCAATCCTTAATTCTTTCAGAAAACAGCCCTTCCAATATTGTTTACCTTATTGACAAATACGATCATGACTTTGATGAGCTCAAATCAGAAGCAGCCAAGCTTATGTATTTCAGCCATAGCATTCAAAAGACCAGCTCTATTGGCTCTGAAGAAATCTCACGTCAAAGTAAAGAAAAAAGAGTCCAGTTTTCGAATGCCTAAGGCATACTAGAAAGTATAAAGAGAAACCAAGATTTCTATATTGAATTTCAGAAGACTTTCAATATCAAAGTCCTTTATTGGGGTTTTGGGGTTTTGGGGTTTTGGGG